GGTGGTATTCTTGATAATGCAAAGATTTTTATCCTAGAAAAATGTCAAGGACCTACACCATGTTCTTGGCTGACATTCTCTTATGTGGGCACCTCAATTATAAATCTTTGCATAGTCAAGAAGAAAGAGAGAGTGCGTGTATTTAAAATATATCAGATTTCTTTATGGGAATATAATACATAACATTGTTCTTAAAGAGAAAAATAATCGTACAGCTATTTTAAGAGATAAGTCACTATGGTAACCATTTCTCTGTTCAAACTTAGAAAGGCAATGCCTTCTGTTACTGGAAGATTCCCTCTGCTTACAGCAGCAGCTATTACATATTATTTTACATTGGGGCTTTTTCTTGTCTTATACTGAATAAGTTCCCATGTTACCCTAATAGTAAATCCCTTGTCTTTCTACAGAATGACTCATATTGCATATTTAATTCTTAAATGAAAATGTTATTGGCATCCTCAAACACAAAAATAATGATCAAATATCTCATCCAGCATGTTAACAGAGGGTCATACATATCTTGAAACAATCAGGTGGTTTTATAGTCAATGATTTCAAATATGTGTAAATTTAAATTGTTTCCAGAAAACTATTTTCTAGATTAATAAAGAAAAGTTAATATGTATAACTATATTGTGCATCAAAATAACTTTACACACATTATTTATTTATTTATTTATTTATTTATTTATTTATTTATTTATTTTACATTGGGAGATCTTCCTGCTCTCCCATACAATCATGCATCCTATATAATAAAAGCCTAATATGCTAAGTGTCCAGTAGTCTGGTCATCCGTTCAACCAATCAGAGCATAATATACTAATGATATGCTAAGGCTGCTCAACCGTTCAATATGACATGCACTGACCACCAGAGGGCAGATGTTCCAACACCTAGGTTAGCTTGCTGCTGGGGTCTGGCCAATCGGGACTGAGTGAGATAGGTTGAACACACCCTGGATCCCTCTCACATCCCTCCCTGGCCAGATCATGAGCCTTGATCATGTACCCCTGGGGTCCCTTGGCCTGACCTGTGCCCTCTTGCAATCCAGGATCCTTCAGGGGATGCTGAAGAGAGCTGGTTTCAGCTGAATCCTGCAGGCCAAGCCGAGGGAACCCACGGGTGCAAGAATTCGTGCCCCTGGCTCTAGTGTATTATAATAAAAAGGCTTTCCCTTCCAAGTACTAACCAGGCCCGACCCTGCTTAGCTCCAAGACCAGATTTCCAGCAAACAGAAAAGACCATGAAGTTTGTTCTATTTTAATAATATCTCCCGACCCAATTTAGTCCCTTTAGTGCTTGCTGCACTGACTCCTGAGAACTGTAATTTCAGGACAATAATAATTGCAATAATAATAACTATTACACATTCAACACCTGCTATGTACCAGGTCTTGTTCTAAGATCTCACATGGGCACTAAATTTATAAAGTTAGTACAACCAAGGATAGTCAGAAACAATTACTTTTAAAGAGCTCAGATTTGTTTATTTAAAAAAAAAAAACAACATAATATTTGGCCTTGCATATCTCTTTCAATTCTCACAACACTATGAGCTTAGTAAGGGACTTTATTATACAGATCAACTTCCGTGTCCTAAAAGGCCTCCCAGAATCCACTGTACAGATTAAGAAACAGTAATTTTTCCCTTAGTATCAAAGTTTATGAAATGAAATAAGCAATGCACTGAATGTAAATGTGTTAATAAGACCTCAGGCTTATACTGAATGAAGAGAGAAAAATGTCTGGTGAAACATATAATAAATATTCAACATTCCAAATCAGGAATACACATGATACCAGTATTTCCTATAATAATACATTAAAGCACCATAGTTTTGTTTGTTTATTGAAATATCCCTGGTATTCTGAATTTATACCTGATGTAAACAATGACTTTATGAGTACTACACTATATTAGTATTCATACAAGAGAAAGCCTGAAATTTAAATATTTGCATATATATCATATTCATCTTGTTATATGTTACTGTTATTGTAAGAAGGTGGATGACTAAATAGTAAGAAAAAAGCAAGCATGATTATGATTTTGGTAGTTTGCTATAATATATTGGTGTATCAAATTATTTAATCAATTAGATTTTTTGTTTATATACAACTATTATTTCCAAGTAAGCACCCTCATAAACTATTTTTTAAGTATTAACTATAGAGGATAAAATAAAATAACAATGAAACATACTCAATCACTGCACCTGATAAATACCCGAAATTCACCAATGGGATGAACTTTCTGTTATAAATAATTACCTGTATCACATCATTAAAAATTCTAATAAGTTAAGTTATGTCATCTCATGGCAACACTATCATGGCACTTCCTTTTCCCTAATTATGTGCTTCCTTGTTAAAAATCAGCTCTGTCTATGAAACACTGCCAAGATGCAAACTGGAGTAACAGAAAGGATTGTTACCCTTTTAAGATAGGTGTCCCACATCAATCATTTCTTAATGCCCTGTATTTCCTGAGAGCAAGGTCCATTCAGCCCCCCCCAAAAAAAATGATATTATTATTTGAAACATAGGTAAATTATTTCTTTCAATAAAATCCCAAAGGGCTTTGCAAAACGTCGGTGAGGGGGAGCTGAGAGTATAAAGGTCTAATAATCTTTCTGGCCTCTTGGGAGTTCTTAATTTATGAGTGATGCCTGCCTAAATGCCCTAAGGAAATTGAAATGGGCAATTTTTGTATTTCACTGTGCATGTTCAGATCACCCATTCATCCTAAATTATTAACCCTAACAACTCTCCTCGGAGGCAGGCAAGAGGCAGGCTCATTAATATTGCCTCTCTGATAAGGAAAGGAAGCTTTGCTTGCACGCCCCCTCCCCTCTTACGCCCTGGCTGCTGACATCTGAATCTGACCAGGGGCCCACATCCAGGGGTCCAGAGCACGCTTGCTTAAATGGGCTTGTTTAATCCCACTTTTCTGTTACTGAAAGAGAAGAGGCAATCTGCTTTTAAAGACCAGCCCATCACCATCTCCTTCCTGGGCCCGCCTGACCTTCAGGCAGTACAGCTGCCCGAGTTGAGTTGCGTTAAAAAGGGACTGCCAGGCTGGTTTAATTTCTGCTGCTCTGCCTCCCAGTGTCCTCCCACGGATCTGTTTATCACACCCTCCTCACTCCTGCTGCTGTTGTTTTTCAGACTCAGTTTGTAGCCTGGACAGCTGAACCTTTCAAGGCCCTAACCTGCAGATGCTTGTACCAGTGACAAAGTACTAGTAATCCCAGAGGACTGGGAGCCAAGGCTAGAACCTCCTGCTCTTTGAAAGTCTTCCCCTCCAGGCATCCCCACCCTTTCCTTCCCCGGACCCACCACCGTCAGTGGGAATGGCCGCTCTGAACAGATCGTCCCCTACTGGCACACTGACGCAGGAAAAGGGTAGCTCCCAGACTTCGCAAGAGAACGTGGTTGGCTTCTTGCCCGTGGGTTGTTGACTCTTTCCTGGGCTCCTCTGTCCCTCTGGTTCAGAACTCACAGAATTCTGAGGCGCATCAGGCCTCACAGAATTGATCCTACCGGGACATAAAGCTGCCTCTTCATTGCCCAAAGCCCCTTCAGGATCTCCCAAACCCAAATTCTTCCTCCCCCTGAGAGAGCTGGCCAGGAACTTCTGCCTCTGGGGATGACAAATGCTCCCCGCTACCAGGCGGGCGGAGGAGGCGGCTATCCCACTAATGGTTTTTGTTTAGTTTCTTGGCAAAACTCTCCTTCATTCAACCTCCCTCCCGGCGTCTGGGAGCCAGGTCTAATTAGAAGAGCACCAGGCTCACCCTTCTCTAGGAGAAACTCCATTAGTCAGAGATGAAACAGCACGGAGCGAGCGTGCCAGGAGCCCTTCCTAAATTGTGGAGAGCCTTGGATGCCTGAAAGGAAAGCTAGCACTGAGGGGACGGGGACGCGGGGTAGCATTGACTTGGTTAGAGACCGCCAGAACTAAGTGCATCCATGATGCTCACTGAACATGGAAACAGAGTCAAGCAAAATGTTCCTTAGGACCCTGCAAAGCCTCGGGTCAGGGTCACAGACAAAGGACCGAAAGCTTCCCGCAGCCCAGCCCGGGACAGAACCTCAGGGCCCCCGCAGCGGGAGTGGGTGCGCGGGAGCGCGCGGGCGGAGGAGTGGCCTCCAGGCACCCGGGTTGGGGGGAGGAGGGAGTGGTCCGTTTGGGGTGTGGGGTGCACCCGGAGTTGCGGTCACGGTACCGTGTGGCCCGTCCGGGAATCAGCTGTGTAGCAGCCTTACTGCAAGCCTGTGCTCAACTCCAGCGGCCCTTGGGGTGGAGTTGCAGCCCTGAGCCGCGGCGGGCGGGGCGGGCGGGGCGGGCGGGCAGGTGGGCGGGGCGGCCGCCGGGGTGGACCGGGGCCTATAAAGTGCCCGCTGCCCCCGAGGCAGCGGCGCAGTTCCGTGGGGCGGGTGCTAGGTGGGTCGGGACCCATCGGGGTGCGGATCGCCGCTGGGGTCTGCAGGTCCCAGAGCCCCCCACCCCACACACCCCAGGGAGCAGGCTCCAGCGGAGAGGGTCTGCCTCCTCTCACCCCCGGACTCATTGAAGCCGCAGCGGTGCCGGCGAGCGCATCGGCCTCAGCCAACTCCCGGCAGGTGAGCCAGGCGGCGGCCTGGAAGTGGGGTGCGCAGAGGCGGGGAGGTTGGGGGGGGGGGTGCCTGTGGTGCCTCGGCCGGGGCCGTGGAGGGGGCTGAGCCCCGCGGGACAAGTCGGCTAACTTTGAATGAGTTTCAGGCTGCAGCAGAAGTTGGCGTCTCCGCTGGCGAGACTGCAAACTGGAGTTGCAGGGACCGGGGTTCCTTCCCTTGGGGAGAAAGGGTGCCGGGCTAGTGCGTTCTGTGTGCGCGGGGCATTTCAGGAGCCTCTGCACGTCTTTCCGGCTCTTGCAAATCTGTCCTCGTTGCCCACTTTTCCCCAGCGCCCCAGGCCGTTCTTCCCCGCGAGGGAAACGGAGCCGTTGACCATGGTTGCCACTGGCAGTTTGAACACGAAGAACCCGGGCAGCAGCGTCTCAGAGCTGCTGGACCACGGCTTCTACCCGCGGAGCCTGATCAATGGTGAGTTTCCCAGGGCCGCCTCTCCCCGCTCCAAAGGTGGCAGCCTCCCTATGGGTGGGATCGGGTTGGCAGGCAGGCGGTGTCGCCCCCTTTCCTCAGTGGAGCTGCCACAAAATCCATCCGAGGACCTTCTCTCCAAGCTTTCTAGCAATTTCTGACCATGGTAGTGAGAAGAAAAAAAAAGTAGCACAATAAATAAATAAATAAATAAATAAATAAATAAACAAACACACACATATATACACGCATACATACATATATACATACACACATATACACATGCATAGATATTGAGGGGTTGCTGACAGGCTCTTTGGGGTGAAAAGTTATGTAGGTTCCTGACCTCAGCTGGCTATAAAGTTTTGGTGAATCTTAAGTGTTCAGTTATGTGTGTCTCAACAAGTGTCCTCACCCTGTCGTCACCACCATGACCCTCTCTCCCCAAATGCCCATGTAACCTATTTGCCACCAATTCCCCGCCCTCCCTCTCCCCTGTTTACTTCTGCCTCCAGAGTTTCATGTAAATGGAATCATATAATATGCACTCTTTTGTAACTGGCTTCTTTCACAAAGCTTAGTTATGTTGAGATCCTCCCGTGGCTGATGCTTCTATCAGTATGTGCTCCCTTTTATTGCGGTGTAGTGTTCTGTGTGTGGATATAGCCATGACTCTGCTTTTAATGCCAGAGGACAATGTTAAGACTGCAGGGATGCTGGTCATGCTGCCACTTGCCATTTTAAACAGCGGTTTCTAAGTTCACATGTTGCTCTGCCATGAGGAGCTGTGTGGGCATAGGCCGATGGCTGAAGACCTGTGGGCATTCCTCATTTAGAAAGCAATGTGGCTGATCTAATTTTATAGGCCAACTCTAGTCTCTACCTTCAGCATATGAAGCTTTATAAATTGGATTGCATTTGTTTTATGTAGTTATTTTAAAAAAATAAGAAAAACAATGATCCAAGAGAATATGCATGTGGGAAAACCACAACAGCCAATGAGGATGAAGTAGGCTTAGGGAAGAGAGCCCGCAGCACCTCTGCCTGCTCCCAGTTGACTGTGTATGGCATCTTGCCAGGTGGTAGGATTAATTTGGAAGGTAGGTGACCAAATGCAGATCTATCTCTTTTCCTTGCGCAAATCTAATTTTGTTTTCCTAGGACTATTTTGTTTTGGTTGGCCACGGAAAACTACCCAGCCAGTTATAAATATCCTGGTGGACCTCAAAGGTCTTCTCTGAGCAATTTTTAATCAAAGAGGTTGAAGCTAAAATTGGAATTTACAGGCCATTCCAGTAAAGACTTTTAAAGAAAGAAGCAGACTTAATAACTATTTAATATAGTTATTCATCTTTAAATTCATCACTTAAGAACAATAGCAAAAATTTGGTATTTTAAAGCAATAAACTCATATATTCTTCGAGTCAGAAGGTAGCAGTTTCTTAGTTTAAAAAAAAATGTATATAACCATTTTAACTCTAGAAGTAATGCATGTTCCTTATAAAATAAATAGAAAAGTTTCCTAAGCAAGTAAAGGATCAAGAAATGAAAGAAAGTCACTAGTAATCTAGGATACCCATAGATTTTTGATCTGTGTGTGTACACATAAATTTTTTAAAAATGATTATATTCTATCCACTCTACTTATCAAAATATTTCATAAATGAAAGGTCAAATGACTTGCTCTACTAGTATTATCCCACTAGTTAGTAGCAAAGTGAGATCAGCTGATCCAATATTGGATACATATTGGAAACAGGTAGATGTGATGGAGACCAATGTTGCTATCTTGGTATGTTTTTCCTGCTCCTGGATTTCTTTCTTATTTATTTATTTTACTTCAAACTTCTATTTTCTGCAGATTTTGACTACTGGGATTATGTTGTTCCCGAACCCAACCTCAATGAGGTCATATCTGAGGAGACAACTTGCCAGAATTTGGTCAAAATGCTGGAGAACTGTCTGTCCAAATCCAAGCAAACCAAACTGGGTTGCTCCAAAGTCCTTGTCCCTGAGAAACTGACCCAGAGGATCGCTCAGGACGTCCTCCGCCTCTCCTCCACGGAGCCCTGCGGCCTGCGGGGGTGTGTCCTGCACGTGAACATGGAAGTGGGCAACGTCTGTGTCAAGCTGGACAGGATTGTGTGCGACTCCACTGTGGTGCCCACTTTTGAGCTTACACTCGTGTTTAAGCAGGAGAACTGCTCATGGACCAGCCTCAGGGACTTTTTCTTTAGCCGCGGTCGCTTCGCATCCAGCCTTAGACGAACTCTGATCCTGAGCTCAGGATTTCGACTTGTTAAGAAAAAGCTTTACTCCTTGATTGGAACGACAGTCATTGAAGAGTGCTAAGAGGGGAAACATTTTAAAAGGTCTTTTTTATGATTGGGGAATAAAATTCTGCAGCTGCTCAGTCACCGTCATTGTAGTTTGCCCTGCCTGCTTTCAATGAAAAGCCCCAAATCAAGTTCTTCTGTATTTCACAGTCACAGCAACCCCAACTAAAGGGGTTATTCTGTGGCTTTTGAGAAATGAACCCCATGTCTGCATCATATCACTTTTTTTTTTTTTTAACAAAATGGAATGGAATGAAATGGAATAAGGAAGGAAAAAGAGCTATCCACTGTAGCTTTGTATTTGACTACACAAAGTTTTCCATGTAGTCTTGCTGACAGACTATTAAACCAACCTGTTTAGTTTGATTTTCATATTGCTTTTTTCTTCTGTAAGTTTTCAGAGTGATCCTATCAATCACAGAATCTTACTGAGCGATGCTTAGTCCATCAAAACTTCCAGAAGCCCACACCACCAATTTCCTGTCCCTACTCTAATTTGAAGGGTCTTATACAGGAGAATAGAATTAAGTGGGTGAGCATAATTAACACTTAACCCCATGCAAGAGTGAATAAGAAACTATCAGGAGAACAGAACTACTTTGCTGTTTTGTTTTGTTTTTTGCATTCTCCCCACTATTCTGGGTATTTTTGTTTGTTTTAGTGTGTGTTTTTAAACACGTTTTATTGATTTTTAGAGAAAGGGAGAGAGAGAAACATCTATATGAGAGTGAAACATCGATTGGCTGCCTCCTGCATGCCCCAGGGATCAAACCCGCAACTCAGGCATGTGTCTTGACTGGGAATGGATGGAATAAGCAACCTTCTGTGCACAGGAGGATGACCAACCAACTGAGCTACAGCAGCCAGGGTTTCACTCTTCTGTTCTAAAGAGGTGGCATAAACTGAAGCTGCCAGTTATAACTACAGTATTGTTTTTAATAACTTCATGGACAATATAAACTCAGTTTTTCTAGTGCTCAAGTGTTGAATGATACATTTAAACTAAAAAAAAAAAAAAAAAAGGAAAATGTTAAGCTGTTATTTTGCATATAGTTGATTCCTTTTTTTTTTTTTTTTTTTTTTTTTTTTTTATGTGAGTGAATATGGAGTTAGGACATGAGTTCTCAGTTCTCATCCCTTCCTCATTTGTTGTATAATCTAGCTTCTTTACACTACGACATATGCTTAATCTCAGATGAACCCTCCCACCAGTCAGTGTTATCTTATCCCTGGCCTCTCCTACAAACTCATCTATCTTTACACATTCTTCAAAGGAGATAGCTGTAGACTACCACTTTTCATTAGTAAGATGGGTCTATTACAACAGACTAGAGAATAAAAGCCAGGATGGAACTCAGCTTTCTTCAACCTAGGATTTCTGTTCCTAGGGGACAAGAAAGGCCTTAAGTTTATCTTATTCTTACTGCCTAGATCATTAGTCTTTTTTATGTTAATGAGAGAATGTCACCTCTACACTACAGTGTTCATTTCTGCAAATCCTTCATATCCTTAGTATAGGTCATGAATAAGGACTTTATTCACATCTTCTGTCCAAGCTATTAGCATCACTTTACATACCTGAGGGTGGTAGGGACCGATGGCTTCATCCAGGTGTAACTCAAAAGCTGGTAGATACTGCTACTCTTCCTATAGCTGACCCAAAACTTCAGTGTCGGAATCATTAAGCCCTCTCTAGGACTGGGCCAGCATAAGTCAACCTTGTTTTGCTTGTCTATTATTAGTTTGGGTTCTGAAGGTCACTGTGATTCTGTGGGCGAGGCTTCTCCAGCAGGATGTAGAGCTGTTGTCCCTTTTCCTCTAAACAGTTGTCTTTTATGTTCACGAAGTGGTGATAATGGCTCATGGAGACCTTTAATTACTATTTCTGTTAAAGGAAATTAAAGTTTGTCTATTTTTGACAATAAAGCATCATATATTTTTAATCTTTTGTCCTCTTTATCTTTTCTGAGTTTTATTCAATGATCACCCTCAAATATATTTGACAGTATTTGAAGGAAAATGACAAAACATTTATCTATCACGTGTTTTGCTTCATAATTTTTCAAATACAAAAGTACATTTTATAGGGAGACAATAATTTGAGCTCCTTTGGCAACCACCTTTAAAAACAACAACAACTTATGGTATGCAGCTTTTCCTATAATTTTCCTAATGCCCAAATGCAAATATATCAAATTGTGAGATCAGTGTACATTTTTATTTTTGTCAGAAAATTCTATTTGAATCATGTCTTTCTAGTATCACTTATTCATCTTACCTGTCCTGTGTGCTTCAAAATTTTGGTCATTAGCTCACATTTCTTAATACATAACACATTTAGTAAGACTTGCTAACTGGTGGGCACTGTACTCGGTGCTTTAAATAAATCCTTTCATTCCTCACAAGAGTCCTATGAAATGAAACTACTGCCATCTCCATTTTATAGATAAATGACCAGACACAGTGAGGTTAAGTAACCTGCCCAATACCACCAAGTTAGGCAACAGAGCCAGAGTATAAAACCAAGCCAACTGCTGCCTCCAAAAGCCCAACCAGCACAGAGACCACATCCACAGAACCAAGAGTCTGCAAAGACAATGTCAGAAACATTTGCCCCTAAATTTCAAAGTACAGTTCTTATGGTGATTTCTTATCAGGTAGGGAAAAGGAAGAAACTGACAATATTCCCCATTCACTGGAGCAGAGCTGTGTGTAGAATAAGAAGTCCATGTTTAAAAGATGCATCTCAATTCTTCCACCTTCATGCTTATCCTATACATTAGCCTTGAAAAAAAAAGTGTAATAAACCTGTTAGCTACAGTGCGTGATGGCCTCCTAAAGTAATGAAATGCCTTCTTTTCCTCTTATTAGTAGAAAAATACCATTTTATAGTAATGATACCATTATAATTAACCCAGTTATTAATTAATAGAAAAGGAGCAAAGAGGAGGCTGGAGAATATAGGCATACGGTTTGTGCCAGGAAGCTGCAGCTTAGCACTCTCCATGTCTGTCCCCTGCAGATCCTGGGGATGATGGGAAAAGGGATTGAAGATAGAAAGAATAGACACAAGTCCACTAAGGACTGAATAGTATAGGAAAGGTGATTATCTGCCAGTCACACCCGGGAGATCATTGGCCACAATAGACATGGCCACTATAAGAGAACAAATCTGGGAGAGCTAAACTCCTGAACAAAGGGAGTTCTTCTTGCCCTTCTCTCTTGCTGCTCACTCCCTACTCCTGGATTGCAGGGCCCTCACACCCTGCACTGGCCCTCATGGCCAATGGCCACATGGACCCCACACAATAGACTAATGGACTGCAACTAGCCTGATGCTCTGCTGGACTCAGCTCTACCATGGAACGGGAATTTTGGACACTGGCTTTGCTTCTCTCTCTGCTAAAGCCCTAGCTGCACCTTTTCCAGGACTGGTTAAAGGTAAATAGGACTTTAGAAATCGTGGTTTATAACTTCATACAAATAAAAATCACTGATTTTCCCGTGGGAGTCTTAGAAAATTCTTATTCTCAAGATATCATAACATGACCCCCAGCACTCAGTGGAGAAAGGGATACCCCACTTCTACTGGTACATATCCCACTTCTATTAATAACAGAAATAGACTCAATATCCTGAATCAATTTCTCCAATGTTCTATATCCTCATGGAGTCAGTTTCATATTGCACTATGGACAGTTTCCCTTTTGCATAGTAGAATGATGTACAAGTATAAAATTCTTAGGTCTACTACATTCAGTTTTCAGTGATCTATATTGGTTTAAACAAATGATAATAACAAAAAATCCCAAGGCATGTTGACATACATGAGGGAAGGAAAGGTACATGGTCATGAGCATCATGCAACTATTCAAAACCCCAGACTATCGCCTAGACTCTGCTACTGATTTTCAACTCATAATACTCCACTGGGTCCTCTGAATCTGCCACAGACAAGAGGAAAGAGACTGAGGGATCTCATAGAAACTTAGGAGCCAGGTGGAGGAATGATGGACATGACTTCTGTCTACATCCCACATAGAACTCAGTCACATGGCCCCATTAAATTGAAAGAAGAGTTGCGAAATGTGGTTGATAGGTGTGCTTAGAAAGAAATGAGCTTGATGAACTGTTTCTGACACACAGGAAGAGGCAAGTTACTAGTAGTCTATGAACTAATAGAGAACCCAGACACAGACCTACACATATATGGAAAGATGGTTTATGGCAGAATTGTACCTTTAAATGGGTAAAGAAAGGATGGTGTTTTCAATAATTGACACTATAATAATCATTTATCTACATTGCAAAAAATGAAATTGGATGCATATATATTAAGCATAAATATCAATTATAGGTTTATTAAAGAATTAAATATGAAGGGGACACTTTCCAAAGAGAATATAATTTTTATGATTTTGATGTAAGGAAAGATTTCTTAAGGAGACACAAAAATGAAACTTCTATTTATCACATATCACTATAAAGAGAATAAAAATACAAGTCATGAACTGGAAGAAAGTATCTTCTACAATTATAACACAAAAAAAGTTAATACCAGAATATGTTAAATATGTTTTCAATTTCTCCAAAACAATTAGAAAAACAAACAACCCAAAAGAAAAAATATAGGCAAAAGCTTTGTATAGGCATGCTACTGCAAAGGACACTTAGGTAGCTGACAAACACATGAAAAGATGCTCAATCTAACTAGTAAGCAGGGAAATGCAAACTATAAGCACAGTAAGGCACTAATGGATAATACATCCACATTGGTCAAAAAAAAAAGTTCAACATCTGGTCATTCAGATGTTGGTGAAGATATGAAGGGAAAAATATTCCCTGCAGCATGCCCATATATGTGAATTAAGTCTGGCATTTTTTTTTTGTAAAATTGAAAATAAGCATATTTTATGAGAATACAATTCCATTTTTAGTTATCAAATCTAAACAAGTACACCACTGCTTTATTTTTTAATTGCCATCTAAAATTTTCATCCTAATTACAAATAATTT